GCAGTTTCCCTGCACATGGAAAAAGTCTTAGCATTTTGTAAATTAGAATTTTGAAATACTCAGCTGCTTTATTACTACTAGGCCATGACTACATGTGCATTAATGCACTGTAGTTACTTACTGTGCATTAAGTTTAATACCTGTAATAACAGGAATTAACTCAATTCTCAGTAATCAGCACTACCGAGCAGCAGCGCAGTGGACATCTTTTGAGTGATGCTAATGCACAGTAGACTCATTCTGCTGAGCATTAGCACAGCTTTCACTATGTTGTGCTAATGCTCAGTAGAACTAGTTTATTGCTCATTTAGTGTCTCGAGTAGATGCGCCCCCAGAGAATGCTGATTTAATCCCATAAATATCAAAAATGTGATTTGGTTTCAGAAGCAATGAGAATCATTAGTACATGAGCTGATCTTACAATGTGAACCAGATAAGTTTGGTCCCTGGGAAAAGACAGTAGCTAAAGTATTATTCAGTACTGTCCTTTGACAAGCTAAGTACTCTATCCTGTGATTCATTAAGTGACTCCTGTGAAACAGTGAGTTCCCTCATTTTCAGTCCAGTGAATCAGGTGCTCAGCACTACACAAGAAATGCTCAACATTTCACATAACTAATATTTTGTTTGTCGTAGGGAAGTATAATAAAACATTTTAGCCAGTGCCAAGTAATAGGGTTTGTAGTTTCACATGGGGTGGTACCACCTGATCTTTTAAATGATGTAATGTGATACTATCATGACCAGCCAAGAGCAAATATAGTAGTTGAATGAAAAATGGGGAAGAGTTGAGTGGAGCCCTGGCCTTGCTTCTTTCCAAGTCAAAGAGAAGTTTTAAATGGTGATTTGAGCTGCAGTAGAACTGCACCCCCAATGAAGCAGTTGGCAGCTAAGGGTTATTATTGGACAGCTTTGCTCTGTCTGCCCAAAAAAGATAAAAACAGTCTCTTCACCACCAGTTACAATCCTCACTGCAGCATGTTCCTCTGCATATTCAAATGCTCAGCCTGTGGGCTGATGTAGAAAGGACAAATTCTAAGAGCATTGTACTTTCAGCAACAGCTCACAGTAACAGTAAGGACTGCTGTTCTATCTGTAGTGCAACAAAAGCCCTTGCGATTAACTCAAATGCAAATTCTAATCCCTTTTGAAGGACCTTGACTTTTGAATCTCTTACAAAGTCCTGTTTTCAGTCTAAAACCCCAAAGCAAGAATGAAACCACCTACACTTGATAGTAATACTTACTGAATCCCAAATGATACCAGAGAAACACCCACAACCAGCAAGTCCAGCAAATTGAAGTAATTCCTACAGAAAGAACCTTTATGAAGGAATGCTCCAAAAGTTGTCATCTAAAAAAAAAAAGGGGGGTGTTATACACTTATTCTCTATTTTAATGTATTT